TCTCTGTCTGTCTCTGTCTGTCTCTGTCTGTCTCTCTGACCTTGGAGGAGAAGTCCAGTGGCAGGGTTTTGGCTCCGGTCAGTCTTTTGATGAGGACACTCTTCCAGTTGGTGAACCTGTGCAGGATGGCTGAAAAAAACAAAGACAGGTGGTCAGCTGATCATAAGGACCGCCCCCACATAAAACACTCCTCTCCAAGTCTGACACGCCCCCTAACGATCCAGCGCTCCGCTGAGGACAAATGTTTGGCAGCTGAGGTCTTTCTGGTTCCTGTGTAAGAAATCTGTGATGTTTCATGAATGAATTATGAACGAATGATTTGACAGTGTCTGTCTTTGTCCATAACATCTCCTCAGATTCATTCTAGAAGACAAACATCTCTTCTAACATCTTCAGTTGATGAGATCTGCTGCCTCTTAGAGAACAAGCCCTGTCACTGTCTCTTTAATAAGGTGGAGTTTATATACATGTCACTTCTGATTGGACGACACCTCTGACACGCCCACCAAACCACAGGAAACAAACCTCGAAGCTCGTTGACACGTTTAGAAGAAAACTGTCGTTCAACCTGGAAACTGGAACAAAAGATGTTTTGAACGTGTTCCTGGTGAACGAGAGCGAAGGCCGACATTTCATACACGTGTTGAAGAGGTTGACCAATCACAACAGAGAGGAGCAGCTGACCAATCAGAGCACGCTTCATCGGGAGGAGGGTCTTAAAGAGACAGAGGCTGAAGAGAGGAGCTGCAGCGATGGACAGTCTGAGGAACGTGAATCTGAACATCAGAGCATGAAGACATCTCAGTCATGCTCTCTAACACACAGGGACTCATGTGAATGTAGTCAGACGTTAATCTGTCTCGTACTCTGAGGCGGGACCAGAGGTTTCCCTCCAGCAGCACACCAGCCGACCGGGTGGATGTCCGGCACACAGAGGTTCAACCAGAAATCTCTGGTGGAGTCGCTGTCGAAGCCTTCGTACCTCAACAGGGCTTTAAAACCTGCACAACACACAGACACACAACTCGTCATATGTGCTTCAGGGTTAAATCTGTAACCAAGAGAAGTAACTGTCGTCCATCTTTATTAACAGGGTGTTAGGAACATAACATCAAATCTAATTTTATTTGTATCGCCCAAATTCACAAAACACATTTAGCCTCAGCTTTACAATCTGTACAGGGAGAGACGCCCTCTGTCCTCGGACCCTTCGAGGGAGAGAAACATGCCCAACCTCAGGGACACAGAGGACGGATCCCTCTCCCAGGACGGACAGACGTGCAATGGATGTCACGTGTACAGAACAACGCGACAGAAACATGTTGTACAAACATCTGAGAACGTGTGTGTGTGTGTGTGTGTGTGTGTGTGTGTGTGTGTGTGTGTGTGTGTGCGAGTACCTGCCAGTTTAATGATGCCAGCGATCCAGTACACCTTCAGGGGCAGTCCACTGTCAGTGTTCGGGACTTCAACACGAACGCCTTCACTGACGTCGTCCCACGACTTCCCCATCGGGACCTAAAAAATAAAAGAACTCTGACGACAACAACCAGACTCACGATGTCACTTCACGATGACGAAGACCTGCCACCAACAAATCCAACAAACGGAACAAAGGTCTGAATGTGTGTGTGTGTGTGTGTGTGTGTGTGTGTGTGTGTGTGT